GGCCATACGGCTACACGCCTCAGAACACGCTACATGTTAGAGGGACCTATGGCTACACGCCTCAGAACACGCTACATGTTAGAGGGACCTATGGCTACACGCCTCAGAACACGCTACATGTTAGAGGGACCTATGGCTACACGCCTCAGAACACGCTACATGCTGTTGCTGCTACACGCCTGACTGGCTAGAAGCAGACATGTTTACCGGCGGTCTCTGGCTCCTCAGGTCTGCTTTTCCTGCAGCTCTCTCTGCTCCACCTGCAGCAACATGAAACATGTGTTTTGGTGAACAGAACCATCTGGGTCCATTAGAGGAGCAGGCGTGTTTAAACGGGCCCAGCAGGTCCGTTTTATAGACAATCAGCAGAAACAAATAATGAGCGAGGGTTCAGTCTGGAACAAGTGACGCCTTAATCAACAGTAACACGGACATGATGTTCTGCTCCACAGCTGTCTGGGTCAGCTGAGGAAAACTGGGTCAGCTGCTCACCTGAGAACTCCTCGATCCGAACGTCCTCCAGGCCGGGGAAGCAGACCACCACCAGGAACCAGTGAGCTCTGAGGAAACACAGAAACAGGAACCTGTTCCAGGTCTCATTCGCCAGGTGACACCCCTCCAACACGTCAAGCCACTCTGTTGGACTCGGAGCCACTCTGCTGGACTCGGAGCCACTCTGCTGGACTCGGAGCCACTCTGCTGGACTCGGAGCCACTCTGCTGGACTCGGAGCCACTCCGTTAAAGCTCAGGTATTTTTGTTCATCATCTTATATTTTAATGTAAGTTCAGGTGATTTTCTTCCATTTAAATGGACGTGTTCATAGAACAATAGACAGAGTCTAATTTCCCACTCCTAAAGGGGCCATTGAATGCATCACCAGGTTTAAGGAAACCGGTTCTGTTCTTAGAACCTCTGGATCCAAACGGAGAGCAGAGAACCAGAAGAGTAGGTCAGACCCGCCTACCAGAACCAGAAGAGCAGGTCAGACCCGCCTACCAGAACCAGAAGAGCAGGTCAGAC